AAATGAATTTAGCATATGAATGAAATTTTTATTGACTTAAACTAAATATGAACCAATATAATAAAATGGATACAACATTTCGAAATTTGTATAAAAAGGAGCGAGCAGAATTTGTCATAATGAATTACTGTGAATTAAAAACGTATTCCCAACTTTAAACATATAGTTTAAATAAGATGCCATACATATTTTCCGTTTAATTTTCGGTATGTTAAGGTTCTTAAATCGAGTTTGGACTCTAAACCCACATGATTTAAAGCGTCAATTCCATACCGTATACTTGACGTTAATCCTGTTCACAAATCCTGTGGAATGGATTTAGTAAATCTAAACGTAGTTAATCCCAGTTTTCCCAACTGAGTGTCTGTAATTTTGAAATTTTTTTCAGAATCTACGTATTGGAAGTTAAAAAAAATTTCGATCCTAACGATGTCCTCCTTTAATATATCGGTAGTTGATATATTGCGGTATTTGAGGTATATGCAACATCAGGAAGCTCTTTGTTATAATAAATGTGGAAGTAACATTTTAGGTACTTTGAGGAACAACATGTTCCTACGGAACTATTAATTTCAAACAAAATAATCTAGGGCATGTATCTTAGAATCTGAATACGCTGAATGGAAACGAACTCGATTCAGAATGTCTTCTGATTTTCCATCCTGGCATTTGTCCCAGAATGTAGGTGCATTCCATCCAATGGTTTGAATACAATGTCAGTCCAATTATTACAAAATATAATATATTTTGAAAATTTTCAATAATTGACAAATAACGGCTTAAAGGAATGATACGCTACCAATTCTAGGCCTAAATATCTCAAAATAACAACTACGACGTGGTAGAATCAAAATAGCTCGATACCAAATTCGTGGAAATGCAAATATGCTTCATAATTTATTTTTGCAAAATTTTCGCGGGTTTCCATTTTTTCTCACCTTTGGAGCTCCACAAACACTTCAAGGCTAAGATTATAAAAATTCCTTCAGCCGTTCTCGAGTTTTAGCGAGACTAACGAGCAGCAATACGTATATATAAACATATATAAGATATATAGATTAAAATATAGCATTATACTGCAGTTTTAAATAAGAAAAAATGTCATTCGATATAACGATATTTTCAATTTAACGATGAGGGCTGGCAATATATATTCTATAAATAACTATTTGATGTGAAATAAAGATTGTTTTCTAGCAGTGATGGTGATCTTATAAAATGCGACGAGGCTAAATAAGCCAAAATAAAAAAATCGCGCTTGATCTAACCGTCATTTGTGAAGAATTTAACTAGTTTGGGAGCCTCTGTATTCAACGAATATGACATATAAGGGAGAAAGAGAACAGCCAGCTTAACAACATTCTCGCTTGGCGCCGATGTTTTTTTCCAACTCAATACAGCCCAGCTATAGAAAATGGAAACCCCCAAAACACAAACAATTGTACAGACCGTAGCCAATCGGTTTTGGAGAGTTAAAATCAAATGTGTAGAGAGAAATTTGCACTCGCATCGATTGGAAAGAATACAATAAATTTGAGAGAAACAAAAAAATGATCGTCTCTTTATGCCAGTTATTACAAAGTGTGAAGCCATGGAGTAGCTTGACAGTTGTCAACAGTTGCTGTTACCCACATTTGGCCAATGCTGTTAGTCATTGTTAAACGTTCGTGGTAATCGTTGTAGAAAGCGGCATATTATCGTCGGGTTCATTGTGCGTAACCTACTCCTCACTCATATATGCAATAATATAATAACGTACATATATACATTGTTATTGTGCGCCGCGACGCTCCGCCCCCGACCCGACCCCTCTTTCGCATACGACATTTGTTGTTTGTCAGTGGGTGTGCGAGTGTGTGGTCTTGCATTATTATTTGCATGAATATATATTTTTTCGTTGTTATTATTTATGATGGTGATGGCAAAATAGTGTGCGTGTGTGTTCGAAATTGAAATTTGGTGAATTTCGTCGGATCTGGATAATTCGAAGTACTAAATAATAAAAAGAAAATAAAACAAGTGCACATAAATAGGAGAAGAGGTGGAAGATCACATAGTTGCATACATATAACATAACAAATTATGTTCGATATATTGTATGTACATATGTATATGTAAATAACGGAATTTGACATCAAGAAAAATAAAAAAAAAATACACAAGCTATCAGTTTAAGAAAAGGATGAAAAATAAAAACAACAGAAATTAAAACAAATCAGTGGGGAAATCCCAAATTTTTATTTTTAAATTCATTCCCGTTAAATTGTTTAAGCGTAGCTGTAGCTCTTATCACCACCAACTTTGCTTGGTCCCACAATCAGCATTAGAGAGGCGAACATTCCGCACCGTACCGCTGTTAAAACTTGTACGAATGAATATTGACGTGTGTATGTCGTACATACATACATGCATGCATAAATACAGACATACATATGTACGTACGTAGGGGAGACGACGATAATGGATAATGATGATCACATTGTCATATTCTTTAACTCTTTGTCGACTGAGGTGGTAGTTAGTATCCCATTATGGGTACAGACGTTACTCAATAGGATTGTTGAAGATTTTCAGATGTATCGTTAAATTCATAATCCACGGGCAGTTTTCTGTGATTGGTCAAAGAGGAAGTCTGAGTGCTGAGAACTATTGGGAACATGACTGTGGGATCTACTAATACCATAATGTATACAGGGTTAGATAAAAAACTGCAACAAAGTAAAGCGCCATACTTTTTACACTTTTTTTTAAATTTTAGTGAATGAAAGCAAAAATGTCGGAAATAGCGTCAAATTTTAGAATAAGTTTAGATTTGTTCGAATTGGTCACCTTTGTCGCAATTTATAGGCTTCAAACGGTCAATGAAACCATGACACGCTGCCCGATGATTGCTCTGCGGTATTTTGGCCCATTCCCGGCGAAACGCTTGCTTGAGGTGATCGACACTTTGGTATTTTTTAGTGCCAACCTTGCTTTCCAAAATACTCCAGACACAATAGCCCAACGGATTGGAGATGTTGGTGGCCATTGTGCGCTGGAAATGAAGCGAGGAACCTCATCTTGTAGCCATTCTTGGGTGGCGCGTCTACCATTGCACTCAGGATGGTCCTGGCAAGGTCTGCCAGGACCATTTTCACATTTTCAGCTCACCTCTTTGGCAAGCAAACCCGATCATTTTGATTGTTTACAAACTCCTGAACAACGAATGTTTTCCATCGAAGAAAACCAAATTCGGCAGTTCACCACTTTCGGTCATGCTCTTTAGCTCTTTTCAGTCTATTTTCTTTCTGTTCCATCACGAATAACTTTTTTCTGGAAAATTCTTACCAAAAAATATAATGAGCTCTCACTGTCTAGTGACACACGAAACTTAGCACACATCATTTTAGACTTTATTTAGTACGCTATACCAAATGTTGTGCAAATCGAAAGATATATGGGACTTTGGTACACCATTAACTTAAATCGGACGAAAATATATATTGGAGCCATATCTAAATCGGAACCGATTTTCAGGATACTTAACACACATCATTCAAGGCCTAATTCATTACGCTGTGCCAAATTTCGTGCAAATCGAAAAATGTATAGGGACTTTGATAAACCACATTAAATCGGACGAAGTTATATATGAGAGCTATATCTAAATCGGAACCGATTTTCACGAAACTTAACGCACATCATTCTAGACTTAATTCATTACGCTGTGCCAAATTTCGTACAAATCGAAAGGTAAATAGGGACTTTGGCACACCATTTACCCAAAATCGGACGAAAATATATATGGGAGCTATATCTAAATCTGAACCGATTTTCCTCAATAGGGTTCGTCCTTGGGCCAAACAAACGAACTGTACCAAATTTCATTTAAATCGGACTATAAATGCGACCTGTACTTTGTTTACAATTTGACACCAACAGTGGACGGACGAACATGCAGAAATCGACTCAGAAAGTGATTCTATGCATATTCTTAAAAGGAACCATGTGTCTATCTCGTGTCCTTTTGTCTGTTACAAACATATGCACAAAGACATAATACCCTGTACCACAATGTGGTGAAGGGTATACAAATAAAATGAAAAATTCTGGATACGAAAGGGATAGAAGTTTGCAAGGATTAAATTAATGGAGACGTCTGTTATTTGCTTCTATATCGTCTTTACTGAATTTTTGCTTGTAAACAATTTTTCTCCAATAAATAAGTATGTATATAAATATGCATAAAAATATCTATTATATTTTGTAATAAATGGGTTAAGGCTTCAAGTATAAACATACGTATATAGCTACATAAACACTGGGATTTCCCTGAAACGTCATCGTGTTTCTACAATACCCCTACCATTTCATCTGGCTATCGATCACACGCATATAAAAAACTTCACTGGTGGTTACTTGGGTTTTTTATTTTCTATTCCCCTCCATTCCCATAACGTCTTTCGATAACTTCTCCATTAGTCGCATTTATTTTGTTGGCCAATCTCCAAATTGCGATCTCTGCCTCTCTCTCTCTCTCTTTTTTTTTTTGGATGTGCAAAAAATAACAATAAGTGTAAAGAAAACAGTAAACCGAAAAGTAGCAACAACAAAAAGAAGAAGAGAGAAGAAATGAAAACGAAGCAAATATAAAAAGTGAGAAACATATGAAACCGGTTTCAAATAATATTTTAATTATCGCTAAAATTGTTTTCGTTGTTGTGCTATATCTGTTGTTTTGTTTTCTAACCAAAGTGGAATCGTCGTCTCGTCTTAACCGATTTTGTACATTACCCGAGCTGGAATAGTAGTTATTAATTCATAAATATTTCACAAAGAAAAATAATTCAATTTTCCGTAATTGTGTTCGTATTTTTGTGTTTTTTCGTGAGATCTCTATTAGATCAGCGGCAGCATCGATCATTACCTAGAAATCGTCGTCAATTGAATATTGTGCTTAAAACGAAATTAAATGAATAATTGAATTGAGAAGTGAAAAAATCAACGTGTTTGAAAAGAAGAAGAAGAAACAAGATTGTGATTTTTTTTTGTAAACAGGTTCATGTTGGATGACTTCAAATGAAATGGTAAGTGGCAACAAGTTGTGAAATATAAAAAATGATAATAATTAGAAATCACCTATTGTCGAGTATATTCAGAGATTATGACAAGTAGATTTATTTTGAAAAAAAAAAATAAATTATCCCTAGGTTAGGGGTGCTCTAAAAATGCAGGCTAAGTAAAATCTGTGACGTATAATAACTATGTCAAAAAAGTCGGGACACTAGCTACAAAACTTTGGTTTAATTTAATATGTAGATCACAGTCTGGCGAACCACCGCACGCGTGCACTCTCGCGAGAGTAAGTATCATTATTCTCTCACACACATTCAACTGAACCAGGGATGGAAAATAAAAAATGTAAAAAGGTACCAAAAGAGTACTTTTTTAATAAAAGAGTACTTTTGTCAAGAAAATACAAAAATAAAAAACATTTTATTCAGTTTCATAAAGATCGATTTTCAAGATATCACTTAGTGTATCTTTCAGATGGTAATAATATGAGAATTATTGCTTCTTTCGATTGCATTTGAATATGTATGCTATTGACTAATTTTAATTTCACTACCTCTTTCTCGAAAGCCAATATACCCAAACTAACATGGTACAATTATAAAAGGTAACAGCAAATCCCAGCTGATTTGATTCCAACGTAATACTAGTATCAATATGAATTTGACAAATTATGTTTTTAAAAATCACCCAACAGGAAAATTGGGAACGCATACAATTTCAAATTGTTCTCTATTAAATGTGCTCCTGTATTCAATTTACTCAATCTGCCTGCCCGTGAAAGTTTGAGAAAGCAAATCTTTCTTCAAGGAATAACTCGCTATTCCCAGCATTTTCATATGTGTTACACATATATATGGCAATGGCTCAATTATAGGAAAGATGTGGAAGCGATAGAAATATAAATTTGATAGATTTTCATTCATGTTTTTCAATTTTTATTTTGAGGATTCGAAAATATTTCATTTTCAAAATAAAAATAATTTGATGATAATTTGTTTGTTTGTTTACATTTTTCTGTCAAATGAGTTGACACTAGTAGAACTTACAACAACAAATTTCCATGTGGTTGTTGTATCGTTTTTTGTACAACAACACTTGCTGTTACCTTCTATTATTATACCAAACTAACATGAATTTCAGTTCCAAAGTACTCTTGAAATTATTGAAGTAATAACGACGACTAGGAACGTCATCAATTTTCCAATGTCTGGAGATAGCACAGAGTATGCCAAATTGAGTTCCGACAAACATATCCTTTAAAAAAATATTGGAACTCATTAACTTAATTTAATGTTTGTAATTTTAATCATAACCATAGGTGCCCAAAATTAAAATGCGTTAGTATGTGTGAGAGAAAACAGAACATTACCGAACAAAATTGTGTGTACATTTTGGTGGTCGGAAAAATTATTGAAGAATTTAATTTTTGTTATTATATAAATTAAAATCATTATTAAAAATGTTTTTATATGAATTACAAATTGATATGTCACAAAAATCTAAAGTATCATATACCGAGATAATAATCATATTGTAATACTAAATATTGATATTAAATACTACGATAAATATCAAATATTTAATTCTTTCATAAAAACAGCAACTGTTCTGTTGTTTTTAAAAATTTTTAAACACACAAAACGCATTTTGAATAATAAAATAAAAATCCAAATATACTGAAACACTTTTATCCCTAAGTGTTATTTCGTTGATTTTCTAGTTGTGCGGACACAACGTCGTGCGCGCACCCCATCATGTGTTCATTCGTTGCCTGTCAAACAACGATTGACTGAAAGAGCATAACAATGCGTGTGAGTAGGCAGCTACTTTAAAGTATACTGATGGGCTTCATTGGTCATAACTGAACAGTTATCAGTCGAAAACCTGTTCATTTTTTCAAGAGAAATATTGCAATCACATTAATATCTTTATCTGCATACTTTTGTCGGTCAAATCCATATCCAAAAAAATATATATATCATGGTTAAATGAAGAATTGGAATGGTACTGAAATGGTCACGGGGGTACTACGGTACTTTTTTGGGTAAAAAGGTACTGAAAAAAGTACTATTGTACTGAATTTTCCATCCCTGAACTGAACCAATTGAAAAAAACCATTGACACACACACAAAGACAAGTGCGTGAGAACAGAATTTTTTATGTTCTGCCCGTGCCTGATGTAGAGCCAATAACATTTGCTCGGCCAGTAAATGTCTCCTGTAGTAAAGCCATATTCATTCGAATTGTATGGCATGTGGCACCGTCAGACAAAAATCATATGACAATAAAGTTCCGAATTGAGGTAAGGTCCCATCTCACATTCGGACTAAAGAGCGCAGAAACAGTGCCTTTTATATGTAATGACCTCTCTTCAATGATGTGATGATTCTTAGAACCCCAAATACGACAAGTTTGTTTATTTCCACATCGGAAGTTATAATCTCATTTTAGAGGACGATATCTGGCTGTGACAGTTTTCATAATTTTTATGCGTTGTGAGATAGTTAAGCTATGCATGGTTTTATACACTTCTGAACGGATAGGGCTGTCTAATGCGGCTTTATAGTCGACGAATAGATGGAATGTGTCGATGTGTATTTCGTGGGGTTTTTCCAGGATTTGGCGCAGGGTGAAAATCTGGTCAATGGTGGATTTGCCAGGTCTGAAGCCAAATTGACCATTGGCTTCAGTCGTTCACACAGTACGCTGGATAGCACTTTATATGCGATGGGAAGGAGACTTATTCCTCTATAGTTGGCACATATCGTCTTGTCTCCTTTTTTGTGCACGGGACACAGGATGCTGAGGTTCCAATCATTGGGCATGCATTCTTCTAGCCAAATTTTACTAATCAGCATCTGACCACCAGTCTTGAATAGTTCGGCTTATAACCCATCGGCACCTGCATCGGCATCTTCAGCCGATTGATTGCTATTCTGACTTCATCTTCTTCATCTCTATACCGTCAACTATTATTGTTCTGGGGTATCCTCTTCACCGCTACTATTTGATACCAGAAGTTTTTCAAAATACACCTTCCAGATCCTCAGTACACTGTCTGTATCTGTCACCAGGTTTCCTTCTTCATCTCTACAGGAGGATGGGCCTGCACCAAAGCCTTCGGTTTGGTGTTTTACACGTTGGTAGAATTTTCGGACTTCATTCTAACTCCTGTACATCTCGATTTGCTCACGCTCACGTTTTTCTTGCTCTTTCTTCTTTTTTCTGAAAATACGTTTCTCCTCTCTCCTTTTCTCCGGATAGTTCTCCATCGCAGGGTTGCCCATACGCTGCGTTTTTTCATATTTCTTGATGGTGGTCTTTGGTACTCAAGTGTTGCTTTTGCCGCAGTTTGTAGGGAGTGGGCAATTCTCTGCCACTGTGCTTCTATATTATTATCGGGACAAGGGGTGCTTTCGTCAAGCAGTTGGGTAAGTTGAGCGGAGTAGGCTTCTGCTACCTGTTGTGTTTGCAGCTTTTCGACTTCAAATTTCCGTGTTACATTAGATCGCACCTTTGCTGCTACATTAAGACGGGTGCGTACCTTTGCTGCCACAAGGTAATGGTCCGAATCGATAGTTGCTCCTCGGATCGATCGGACGTCTAAAACACTGGAAGAATGCCTTCCGTCTATTACAACATGATCGATTTGATTTCTCGTTGTTCGATCGGGAGAAATCCAAGTGGCCTTGTGTATATCGAGATGCTTGAATCTGGTGCTGGTAACTACCATATTTTTTGCTGCCGCAAACTCAATCAACCTCATGCCGTTGTCTGATGTTTCTTCATGGAGGCTGAATTTTCCGACGGTGGAGCCAAAGATATTTTCCCTTCCGATTTTTGCATTAAAATCTCCTAGCAGAATTTTAATGTCATGGCCAGGGCAACGGTCATATGTTGTTTCTAGGCGCTCGTAAAATATATCTTTGGTCTGTTCATTTTTATCTTCGGTCGGAGCATGGGCGCAAATGAGACTGTTGTAGAAGAACTTCGCTTTTATACGGATTATAGCAATTCGCTCATCTACTGGAGTGAATCTGGAGACGAAGTCTTTTATTCTCCTGTTAACCAAAAAAAACCGCAGCCGAATTCACATCTCGTTTCATGGCAGCTATAATACTAATCTTCTGATTTACTTACCCCAGTCCCTTTCCATCGCACTCCTTTTCCATGGGCCCATTTGACATGCTAAATATTGACCGATTATCATGCAAAGAGCCATGTTAATTTCCATGGACAGATTCCTTTCTGTGACCAGAAAAACATACAAAAATTAAGTTTTTGGTCCATAACTTTGATCTGTACTGTGTTTACAAATTATAATGGACAGACTCAGCCAGTCAAGATATGATCAGTATACTAAAAGGTGATTAAAGGAAAATTATTGTTTTTTCTTTTAAATACATTTTAGCAAAATTTTAATACTAAATAATAAATTTATGTTAAAAATCACTGAAATTTTAAATCGAATTACAATCTTCTGTTATAAACTTTGGATGAAACAATTATTTTCAATCAATAAGAGTAAAAAAATAAAGGATAAAGAAGAAATCGATAATGTAATTCTCATTCTTAGAAATTGTTTGTAGGCTACCGTTATTAAATTGTTTTTTTTACAAACATATTTTAACAGAAATTACCTATTTTGTATTTTAATGTAAATAAATTAATATCTTGTTCTTGGAAATGAGATACAGGGGGTTTCGCATATACATATATTAGTTGTACTGAAATGTCCGATCTGATTGTTCACTTTGGTCGCTTCAATTATTCATTCATTATAAAATCCCACTGGGGATACGATAATATTACGATAAGCGATTTCTCACTCTCGCTCTCACCCTCGCTTACTGCGAAAGGACATATGGCGTGGTTGTAGGGACAATTATCAAAACAAATACAAATGACGGAAAGTGTATTCGGGGAATGGCATGCGAGCCCCTAAAAGCGTTCAACCATATCTGTGCAGAGTCTGCACCGAGTCATGAGGAATAACTAACCCACACACAC